GGCATATGAGTTGAACATGTACCTGAGGTAGATATACTCCTTGGAGAGAACAATCATGGGAGAAAGAAGGGCTGTTTATGCACAGGGAGGAACGAGTGCAGCTTGGAGGGCAGGAGTGTATGGAGGGATGGACATAGGGAAGAGGTAACTATCGGGAGGAAGTGGGAGGGGAGCTGTTACACTGTGGTAAATAGTAGTCAATGTCATGAGACAACGTGTGTGTGAACTGCTGTATGGAAAGTGAATTTGCTCTGTAAACTTTCACCCAAATCACAATTAAAAAAAAAAATCAAGGTCCTAAATAATACAGCAACACGATAGCTGGGATAGTACAAGATTCCTAAGAAAAGGTAAATGACAGGCAGTCATTAGGGTTAGAAAACATCCATTTCTGAGGGACTGGAAACATGCTGGCTCAATCCCATCTTTTCTTCACCTGGACTTGGGAGTTAGTCAGGAGAGTAAGTCCCCAGCCCCCAGAGTTCCTCTCCTGAGAAAATGGGGCCGGCTACGAAACGCCAAGCCATGGCACAGTCCACCCCAGTTCGACTCCCAGACGACGACTCTTCCCGTTCCTACTTCGTCTTTCACAGCATATTAACCCTAAGGTACTCCTCGTTTTTCTTCCCTTTCAATAATCTATTTGTTGTTGTTGTTGAGAATATACACAGCAGGATACACACCAATGCAGCAGTTTCTACTTGTACAATTCAGGGACGTTGATAACATTCTTCCAGTTGCAACCATTCTCACCCTCCTTTTCTGAAGGGCTCCTCCCCCGTTAACATACACTCACTGTCCCTAAGCTTCCTGGCTAAGCTTTCCAGTTGCTGTTATCAATTTGATCCCTTAGCGTTCTTTAAAAGAGAGGATGCTCAACTGCCTTCAATCATTTAAACTGTAAAATTTAGCAGCACAAAAACATGGTCTATTCCTGACTTTAGGATCCCAACATCTAGAACCTTGCATGAAATTGTTAAGTAAAATTCATTACTGGTCCCTCAGCTCCTTATCCTACAACCTTTTTTCCTCTTTTCCATAGACCTACTACTCTTTCTCCATCCAGAAAACCCATTATCTTCATCATCAACTTCCTTATGATCCATCAAAAGCTGCTCTTAAGAACTTTAAAACGCATTCACCCTAAAGCATGTAGCCTGATAAAAGTTCAAAGTGTTACCAATCGCAGAGCATTTGTAGTTCAACGAGAATCAGTCTGAAGCTAAAGGACTGGACATTGTATGGTGCAACTGCAGGTGGGATCCCATAGAGAGCTGTGGTTTCAACGAATGAGCACAGCAAGACAGGAACTGCTACTAGCTGTGGCGCCTTAAATAATATCACCCAGAATTTCTGAACCTGTTTCTTTTCTAGTAAAATGGAAAGAATTTCATTGAGCCATGCCCCGTGTAAATTCTAGGGGCTTAAAAGGACATAAAGGATCTCTGGTGACACAGTGCCTAAAGCATTTTGACTGCTGACCAGAAGGCTGGCAGTTCAAACCCACAAGCCACTTTGCGCAAGGAAGATGGCACAATCTACTTCCGTAAAGATTTACCACTTTGGAAACCCAAAGAGGGTCGCTATGAGTCAGAAGCGACTAGATGGCAGTGTGTGGGTTTTGGTATCCACCCAAGAAGAGTAAATTCCTTGAAGGCAAGGCTCTTACATCTCTTTGTATTATCTGTGCATAATACATAGTATTACATAATACATAGTAGAGAGCTCTGGTGGCTAGTGCCTAAGGCATTTGACTGCTAACCAGAAGGCTGACGGTTCAAGTCCACTAGCCACTCCTCGGAAGGAAGACTGGGCAATCTACTTCTGTAGAGATACTCCTTCGGAAACCCAAGGAGGGGTCGCTATGAGTCAAAATCCACTCAACAGCAGTGAGTTTGGTTTTGGTTTGGTAATACATAGTAGGTTGCTCAGTAAATGTTTGTCGAGAATAGTAAATAAATCCCAAATTGTTATACAGAGATATTATAGAGAAGTGCCTGACTCATCTGGATGAGGTAGCTTAAGGGACACTGCAAATTCAATTCCAAAGTATGAAATATAAAAACCACCTAATATGACCAAAAACTAGGAATCCCATGAGCAGAGCTATTTTTCACACAGTCTTGGAATTTCATTACCTTACAAATGAAAAATACATCTGGGTTTATGCGTTTTCGTGACGCACACCCACAACTACCCTTCCTTGCTGTCCTTGAGGTGCAAGTTCCAGAAGTCGGTATCCACGGAAAAGGGGTTAGGGAGGGGGTGTGGACAGATGTTGTTTTATGCCAAGGCTGCTTCTACCTACTCGGAAGTGTGAGAGAGGAACCTCAACGAGCTCCTCAGTTTATGTATGCTCTAGATGAGGGTAAACCACTTTCACTCAGGAGCTGCTCAGAAAGGATCGCGGCCCTCATCTCTCCCACCATACCCTCAGAGTCATCTTCCATCGAGACAGCCAGCAAAATGTTACCATTTTTTTCCTCTCCTGAGAGGCCTGGCCCAAAAGACCTCCGAGCCCAGACTTGCCACTGGTCTGCATCACCGAGTAACACACATAAATAAATCACCTCAAAAAGAAAGCACAGTTGCGGCAAGAGAACCAAAGCCAGGGACTCTAACAACCGTCAGCAACCTCACGCCAGCATCAAGTCACGCAGACGGCATCTGCGTGGTGTTTGTAATTACTGTTTGGCTGCACTGTCCTGATCATGGCAGAGTACAACACAGGGCTAGGCAGACCTTAACTCTTCCTTGTCCTCACTTCTGTCAGCCTGAATCGGATGGGTCAACCAGACGGATCCCGATCAGGTGTTACAGGCACAGTACCAAGAACCCCCAGCACGTCATGCAAAATATCCGAAGCCTCCTTGAGCATATCCCACGCTCAGGTTTTTACTTGGGCTACACAGGAGGAAGGTTTTCCTTCTCAACCTCGGAAGGACAGAGTGCAAGAGCGAGGTGATGGGTAAAGGTCGACTGTGGCTCCCGGAGAACGCCCGACATAGGCAGTGAAGCTTCCACCAACAGACACCCCGAGGAACGCATGGAAATGGTGTCTTCCCCTCCCCCAGCCCAACCCGAACCACCGCACCCACTCCCCTCCCAGCCTCAGTCCAGGGCCCCAGCTTGGTAGGCAGAGGAAGGGGGTGGGGTCGGGGGAGAAATAGGAGGTGGGGAGGCAGGGAAAAGGGTGCAAGGCAGAGAAAATGGGGCGAGGCAAAGGAGAAAAGGGGGTAAGGCGAAGAAATGAGGAGCCACGCAGAGAAAAGGGAGGCGAGGCAGAGAAACGGGGAGGGGGGAAGCAGAAGATGGAAGGAATCGAGGGAGCGGATCGTAGGCCGAGAAGGGCCAGGCGGCCAGAGAAGGGGGAACTCCAGGAGGAGGCCAGGGCTGGGGTACTTGCCATAAATCATCGCCAGGCCGGTTTCATGCAGGAAGCGGGCCCGGCGATGCTTGAACAGCCAGATTGTGAGGATGGTGAGCGTGAGCAGCAGGATGAAGATGAGCAGGTTGGCGCTGTCCTGCCGGTGGCTCTCTTCAGCTTGCTTCTCGGACACGATCTCCTCGTCCATGGCTCTAGCCGCTCCGCCAGCGGAGTCTGAA